GTAGGTTTCGAAGCTTTATTTGTATCTAACTTGATGCAGTAGGATCTATTCCAAGCGATTTAAACAAGAGTATCATCGAGAGCATCGATCAAGACACCCATTTGCATACCAGTTTGCTTTCCAAGAAAAAAAGCGTTCAGCTGTAGCACCCTCCCGGTGCCTAGCTGCCATGCCACCCGAAGGAAGCACGAGGGCTGGGATACTGCCAGGTTGCCCAAGCCTAGACAGGGAAGTCGAGTGGCGGAGGTCGGATTCGAACCACGGACCTTCCGGTTAATAAATTCGCGCTCTAACCACTTGGGCCATCTCGCCCCGCTTTTCAAGAAAGACCAAACAAAATTCCTCGTTTAAGCTATTCTTCATTTAAATGTGCTGCACAAAGGCCACTTTATGTTTTGGTTCGTATGAGATTCGATAGGTCGAGTGACGTCATTCGCTCTGATCGCAGAGGTGAATCACGTTCATTCTTGCTCATGATCCAGTGTCCCTAGAATTTTGAACCAGACCGTCACTAGGAGAAAAATTAGTCAAGCGGGTCGTTTTTTTTCAATAACTCGACATATTCTCGTTCCTGTACGTACACAGTCGATATTCCAGATTTCGGTCGAGGAAGACTTCTTCGGTGTGCACGGAGAACTTTCAGTAAAGATTGGGTTGTATATGAGCCTCATTAGGACACTGAGTTGGTTTAACTGAGAGACTCAACTGAATCCCAGCTGAGTCACTCGTTTGTGAAGGTCTTTCTTCAACTAGACTAGGCCGTATCAACTGCAACATGAGGCCGCGTTTGTGCAGCACATTTGGTTGAAAAATCCAGCTGAGTCTCCTGTTAAAACAGACTTTTTGCGCAAGTATTTGGCGGATCCCGTCTAATCTGAGTTCAAGCCGAAGAGAAGGTCGGCAGAAACTCGGGAACTGTGCCTCTCAGATGAGTCCGAAGAATGACGAAATTGGTTGTGGGCTGTCGAAGAGTTTTCAGCAACCTTGTGAGTAGTTTCCTTCATGAAAATATACTGCGATATCTCGAGTATCGTACAAACCGAAACAAGAGGCGGCCTTTGTGCCGCACATTCAGTTGAAGAACATCATAAACGAGAGGTTCACTTGAGTCTCCCATGAAAACCCAACTGAATTACAAATGAGTGTATTTGTCGCCTAGTCACTTCAATTTGGGTTCAAGATGACGGAAATCCGGGAACTGCGCTTACCTGATGAGCACAAAGTAGGGCAAAACCGGTCTTGGGACGTCGAAGAGTTTTCCGCAACCTTGTGAATAGTTTTCTTTCCAAAAGTTATTTCGTTTTTATCACCTGATGCACAGAATACTTCGTTTATACACCGGTGGTGATAGAAAAAAAGAGTGGGAAATGACTTTCGTGGTAGCAGAAAGTGTTTTGGGATAAATGGGATATCCAGTCATCACACCATGCTTGCCTACACTAAACAACATCGCCCGTTGACGATATACTGAGAAGGTCTACCGTAAATGAAAGGATATCGCCTCAACCAACGATTCTCCGTCGAAAAGCGATGGGATTTCATGGAAAGACAATAACTGATCGTATATGTGATCTATGCATCCGAAGTTTGCGGAAATCTATGCGGGAAAATGCTTCGTACTGCGCTTCATTTACCTCAAGATTCATATGGTCATGAAGTGATAAAGTGAGTTTCTAGGAGAGGGTAGTTAAAATTGATTATGAGGGACGTAAAGGCGAGTCTGATACCCACGCGAAAGTTGCATCGATGCGAAGACGAAAACAATGAGACCCGACTATCAGTATACACCGTTGTTTTTATCACACCAGACACAAAAATTTTCACTCACTTTTTTCAGAACTGTATGATGTTTGTGGGTAGGCGGAAGGTGAATAATGCTAGTTTTGTCCAGGTGCAGTCTTGTGATGATTCTACCACTCCCTCCTGATTCTGAATCTCCACACCGCGTCCGAGCATGTTTTTGCATGTGAAGTCGAACAGGAGAATCGGCTACTCTTCCTGGAGGTGTAACTAACCAGAATAGGTGATGGGTCGATACAATGATGTGTATATCGTAGAGCAACATGATCAGGACAATACATTTCCTCAAGGTCAAAATGGAGCAGTAGAAATCTGACCACTAGACTTTGTAGACAATTTGAAAAGCAGGATTCAACTAAACGGCTGCTCAGAAAGGTTCCCGGGGGATCACTCCAACCAACAAAAACCGTTCAGTTGTTGCACCTTTTCGGTGCTTAACTGCCATGCCGCCAGAAGGAAGCATGAGGGCTGGGATACTGCCAGGTCGAGATACAGAGGCCGGGTTTGAACCATGGACCTTTCAGTCAATAAATTCACGCTCCAGCCACGGAGCGATCTCGCCCCGCTCAAACTAAGACCTCTTAAAGAAGGCAAAAAAGAGGCAAAAGCCAACCTATCTTGCACCCTTTGCGTACCAATTCGGTATGTACAAAAGACACCTGAGTTCCAGGCGAATCACGCGTTTATGACACTCTTCACCCGAATGTGCTGCATAAAGACCGCCTCATGTTCAAGTTGGTACCGCAGTATTTTTTAATACCGTGTCATACTACTCACAAGGTTGCTGATGTCCCTGCCTCTTTCCAGAGACTAGGTGATGGGTGAGATGCTGGGAAGAAGCGCGTAAACGCGTTTTTCTAAAGCACTCCGTACCGCGCACTTGAGCATGGCATTTGCCAGCCAGAAAAGGGCTAAAATACAATTTCTGTGGTCAGATCATCTCAGTGTGTGTCTACCAGTTTGTGCGCTCCTGTGGAGACAGCCAAATTGCTTAAGCAATGAGGCACTCGTCAAAGCGCAGAGCTAAGTATTCATTTTCAATTTTATACTTTGTATCATAAGGTTTCTGCAGCAAGGCTAAAAAGATGTGAACATTCAGTAGTAGACAAATTTTGTGCCCCATAAGATGAACTTATCAAAGTCTGTCATACGATGTTCTGCCTCCAATGCCTCTTCGGAATTTATCAATAAGGTTTCACTTCTGCTATCTGAAGGTCTTGGACGTATCCAGACTTTCGATCACCGTAGCACAACAGGCAACGAAGTGCTACGCAAGTGAATACGAGGCACAATCACCGAAATAAAACTTGTCAGGCTCGGGCATGCACTGCGCGTTCCCACTGCATACCAAAAAAGGCGCAGTTTCTCATTCTGAAAGCGAACTGGAGGGGTGACGACACGGCTTTTGAAAAGAAAGCGGCTACCGCCACTGAATGGGGTGAACCTCGTTGCACGTAGTCGAGACCCTCAAAAGACGGTGGCGGTCATATTATCACTTTGGAGCCGGAGCGCTTAACTAAACGCATCTGTTTGTATGCTGCGGTTGTAACGAGTAACTATGCTCAGATTTGTTAACACCCCGGCTTCTTCAAAAATCAGACGTCTAGTTTTCGACTGGATCTCCCAAGGATACACGAATCTTGTCACTAAATCTCCAGCGTCGCCCTTTCCTTTCGGACCTTTACAAGGTCATTCGTTCTCCATCTTTTTGTGGCCGTAAGACATCACCGTTTGCTACTGGTGTAGTGCTGCCGATATTTATTTCCAGAGCTCCTGACACATCCAGACACCTTCAGTTGAGATTTCACCTTGTAATTGGGGCTAATGTATGCCAAAAAGCCAAAGAACACGGCGCGGATGTCTTATTTTTATTGGGAACCATCAGCAGTGCGCATCTCACGAGACTCTAGTGGACATTTTTGAATGATTAACCGTTCGGTCACGAGCGGCCGACCAACAGTGTAACCAACTTGCACGGTTTATGGCGCCACCCAATCTGCAATCACAGAAACTCCATCACCTAATCAAGTACTGAGTGGTTCCTCAACTGACAGCCTTTTTTCAAATGGAAGATTCACCCATGCTATGAAACCATTATTTTTCATTTGAACTACTTATAAACTGATGGTAGTGTGAATAAAGTCGATCATTTGTCGAGGGGACCCATAAGGTTCGCATCAAGCTAGCTGTCGGATAATCCCATCGTCCTTTAGAAGCTGAGGGCAGAAAATAGAACTCTCCTAAATCCAACTCTACATTAAATGGGGATAACTAAATAGCTAAACCATGCACAGATGATCCGCTTACCAAAGAATTCAGTCCTCTCTACGAAAACCGCGCAGGCCCGCACGCACGAACTAATCGAGCTCAGATCGATATGGAAGTGAACAAGACAGGCAGGAATATCTCATTCAAGCGTACCATATCAGTAAGAAACCAAATGCAACAAAACCTGGTGAATGAATGTGCCGGGGATAACAGGACACAGAAACGACGAACGTTACTCGGAACAGAAGAGAACAGAGTAACATGGCAACCGCGGTTGATTATGTGTTTGTGTGTGGATAGGTATGGGTCTGAGATTAACGAGAACTGCAACTATATAGAGGTATTGGTTGCGCACAGAGCCAAGTTGTATATGGTGAGCTAATCACGAACGTTCTGTGACGGTTGCTTCGCTGCCAAACAGAGACTGAACGCGGGCACAAAAAAGGAACAAAAAAGGGCATATGAAAAACAAAGATGAGCAGAATGATGAAGTTAAAAAAGGATTGGGACTGATGAGCGGTGGTTGTTCAAAACCAGACCACGCACTGCAAATGTATGTGTACAGCAAATTATCGATTCGACGGGACTAATCGGCTGTTTGTTCAATTGCAAGGCGTGAGTGAGTGAACCTGAAACTGCACGGTGAGAAAAGGGAACTGGCAAAAAGGGTGAACGAAGGCCAGTGGACTTAAACGGTTGTGCATATCATCGATCCATCCGTACCTATGTGCTCAAAGGGGTGGAATCGTGGGTCTAAATGTGTTGACATACACCTCCGGTAGTCTCCTTGAATGGATACAGTGTTCGCGCTACCATAAACACTTATGCGATTTGTGGCAGGCAGATGAGCGAGGTACAATTAGACCTCGCGTCGGTTCCGAGATAAGCGGAACTGTACAAGATGAGGTTGAAAAACTGGTGTGAATCCCCCGCTAGACTTTTCGGTGCTGATGTGAGTTAGAAGAACAGACACAAGGAAGATGGCGCAGATGACAGCAATGTGTGTGATACCGAGCACAACAGTGATGGGCTCGATGGCGCTTCGTAAAATGTTCACTAGAGTGTTGCTCCGTTGCTCCAGACACTGGTACCTTGCTCGGGCAAGTGGCCATTGCATGAGTACTGCTGCTAGTTCGAGCATCCGCAGACCCATCAGCAGAGCTAATAGAAGATGCACGTCCCGATACAGAGTCCGAGGTAGAATTGCCTTGAACTGTTCGGCTTCGGAGACGCAATTCTTTCTGCACGGCCATATGCATCTCTCGAGAGTCAAACGTGATCGCCTGACTGTTTCTGAAGGCAAAAGAAGTAAGCAGAAAACGAGGAATCAAGTGCGATGTATTCACCATGTCATGCTGGTCATCGAAATGTCTGAAGTACTGTATATGCCTGTCGGACTGCTGATTATTTGCGAATATTATTAGGCTACTCACAAAGATGTGAGTAGCATGGAGATTATCGATTTCCTTGTGACCTGAGAGTGCCACTGTTGTCAGACAGCATGAAGTCCCAAAAGGGGACAGAATGAGCAGGCATACAGACCGAATCAACCACGTGATAGTACCAGATTATATCGGATTGTCACTGGAGATATAACACAAGTGATTAACCAGCCTGCTATGTGTTTTGCAACAAATCCACCATTATTTGACACACACCCTAGACACGAAACGCACAGGTGATCCCAGGATGCTCCTCAGGCGCGACACTCACAAGCCCGTACAAAAATCCCGTGGGCGAGTTACGCCAGGTGAAGAAGTCGGCGAGCGTAAAGTCTCGATGGGGAAAAATCGGGAGGTGGTGAGGCATTCAGACCATAGATTGCGGCGTACTACGAGAAAACATCCCGATCTGTGTTGGTTGGAGATTTTACCGGTGATTTAGACAGGAAAGCGAACATTTGAGGAAAGTTAGTAATCGAGGTAACGTCTTCGTTTAGGATGTCATCGATCCTCTCAACTAGGCCCTGAACACCAGGCCAAAAACACAAACCGACAGCTTACGCTGCTGTCTAGAGACGTATCAACACTCAAACACCCTCCACTCCAACCCCCGTAGTTAGGTTACCAGCCTTAAGGGTGGACACGCACGAGGTTATACCAGAAAGTGGAAAATTGATCTGTTCTCCCCATCAACATTCGCCATTTGAGGCGTGAAAAAGATTCAGAAAATTTCGCCATATCTCCGAAAATGGGCTCCAGATTCCTCAGTGGTTAAGGCACAAACATATTGAGCGCAAGCTCGAACCCAACCCTCGGAAATCTCGACTGCTAGGCTTGGGAAATATGGCAGTACCTCGTACTTTATCCAGTTGGAAAGACGGTTATGCACCGAAAGTGTGCTACAGCCGAATGAATGTTTATTCATATATGATGAATGTGTAGAATCTCACTGTTTTCATTTCAACAGTGCAGTGTGCACTCGATTAGTGTCTCCCAGCTGAAAGAAATTGATAGCCGTGCTTCGACTTCCGTATATATATGAACCAAATTTCGTTTATCCCACGAGCACTACACGACAATGATGTGTCTCTGAAATTTTGATTCTACCGAACAACCTCGACTCGATTCTTTCCGACTTCTACGGTCGCGAATTGCTAGATTTCCCCACCTATGTCGATTAGACGAGGTATTTCGTCACCTAATCTGAAGAAATAAAGAAAGCGTTCAGCTGTAGCACCCTTCCGGTGCCTAGCCGCCACGCCACCCGAAGGAAGCATGAGGGCTGGGATACTGCCAGATTGCCCAAGCCTAGACAGGGGAAGTCGAGTGGCAGAGGTCGGATTCGAACCACGGACCTTCCGGTTAATAAATTCGCGCTCTAACCACTTGGGCCATCACGTCCCCACCTCATGTGCCCCGAAGATCATTACCGCATTCATCGTTCCCGTTCAATTCCACTGCCAGACACCCTACTCTGTGTAATCGTTCCCGCCACGTGTTTGTTCGATACTTCTGGGAACGTAATATCGAAAGGTGTCTGTTACGGAAGAGAGTGTGGTTAGCCCTCGGCGAGCCACCATCAGAAGTTGCGAAAGTCTTCAGCTACCAGATCCACTCCCCGACATTTCCATCCTCCCAATCCCGATACATCCCTTGCAGTTGAGAAACAGGGACCTTCACCTTGTTCAAACTATTACCAGTTTCCCTTCTTCCGTTCCATGGACTCAACCTACAGTCGTTTAGTCATCCCGTCACTAAATCACCAGTCAATTCTCCTCACCGTTTCAAGGAACCTGAGGCCGATTGATTCTGTCTCGAAATTGCTACAACCTTGTCAGCATAAATCCCTTCTGTGCTGCCCGAAAGACATTCCGTTGTACTCTCCATAACGTAACGCAGTTCAAAATCTGACCTTTCATGGAATACTCCCTGTCAAAGGAATTCCGCGAAGTCTTGAAGGCAATCTTTCTGGATTGGGGCACAGACGACCCATGGGGGATCTACTGGCCTTATATATACAAGTGGTTCACTGACACCACTTGGTTGGCGTCGTTAGATATCCTTTGGCAACACTCGGCTCGCTGACACCTGCAGCTACCTGGTCAGCCACACACTTGACTGTTCAGCTCACAGTCGCTCACCGGATCACGAGACTTGACTTTTTTCAAACTCGCAAACACGTCACATCAAAATGACTCATCGGACATCGATTGTCTGTACCGTCTAGTGAGCGTAGCAACGACTCATGTGCTGACACACCCACGTACACGCAAACGGACCTACTTATAGGGAAGCCGAACACAGTCAGCACACAGACTCGCGCGCGCACAGGGAGCAGGAAGTCAACCACTCCCCACAAGTCCACGGACAATTATGGAACACTTGTAGCAGCCATGCTGCGGAGAAAACACGTTCCCGCCGTCCGGACTCTCACAGACGATAAGTTTCTCTTTTGACTTGCTCCCATTTTGCATTGTATTTATTTTTATACGTGTTGCAACCCACCACTGTCAATCATGGTAAACGCGTTTATTAGTGCATACACCTTCGGATTCGTATTACGGCCATCATCATCACCTGTGCACTAATAAACCCTCACCTAATTTGGGCATACAAGATTGGCAGTTTGAGCAAGAATAATGCACTATGCATGAGAATTAATAAAGCGTTCCGCTGTAACACCCTTTCTGTGCCTAGCTGCCACCCGAAGGAGGCACGAAGGCTGGGATACTGCCAGGTTGTCCAAGCCTAGACAGGGGAAGTCGAGTGGCAGAGGTCGGATTCGAACTACGAACCTTCCGGTCAGTAGACTCGCGCTCTAACCACTTGGGCCATCTCGCCCGTAGGGTCTTCTCACGGATGGACTTTATTCCTTGTAGTATTTTTGCTCCGTGGCAACAGAATTATCTCGTGTGTTATTGCCAGCATCGCCATCTCACAACCTGCAATCCAAAATCGGTGAGTAGGGATCATCTCTTGTAGCCATATTTAACCTTTCTAAATGCCTCTCCACCGTTTTTCTGCTCGTTGTTTGAAGATCTCTTTGGTTACTCAGTATACGTCGCATTATGTTTTCATGTCTATGGTGAATTTACCCCTATTTGTTCATCCACACTCAGTCAAGTCTAGGAGAGCATCCGTCTTATCGCCATCCCCTCTCGAACCGATAACTCTCTGCGGTTGAAACGTGTCATCTTCGTATTTACTCTGGCACCCACGAGCATCAGTTGTTCCACACCATCTTTTATCCAACCATCCACTTTGTTATCGAATCAATTTCTTGGCACCTCATGCCCTCTTCACATCCCCCCAAAATTGCATGAATCTTAACGTACTAGTGACCATGCAAAGTTCGCACAGTTGTTTGAGACCAGTTGCAGTTATAAGACCCCCCTTTAAGTAAGCACTGCCGCGCACGGTCCGTCAGTCCCACTTGTGTGCTTTTGTGAACGGAAAGGTTGATTTATTAAAAAAATCTCTTCACAAAAGTGAGGAGCATACCGTTCCATAATCTCTCGAAGCAATGAATTCACTTCTTCGTTATGGCTCATTCGAACCGGGGGTAAAACAACACGGCGATTATAACGCCGAGTTGGGGTCGAATTGGGAGGTGTGGAAACGGAGGATGAACTGCCACTGTTGCTGTTATTGCCATTGTCGGCAGCGTGGAGCGGATCCGCTGCGCCATTACGACCGACACCGTTGGAGGAACTGCCGGGGGGTGGACGGGGGTGCCGAAATTCCGGAGGGGCCATGCAGCAATCCATAGAAGAGGCTGCATGACAGAGGCTCTGATGGCCAACACAAGGACAGCCGCGGCATAGGCAACTTCTGTCCAACTCTGAAGGAAAAAAAACAATCCACAGAAAGGAATTTAAGGTTGGGAACTGAGTGAATGGCATGAGATTATAGATGATTCTCAGTCATTAAAACTCATATGACGCCTCTGAAAAGATACCGGCTATACCGAGGTTCGGCGCCAGGCCAGTTCGGCCCAAGATTTTGCAAAAAATCAGTTTATTTTTGTGGACGAAACTACTCATAGGGGTTGCTGAAGACGATTTAGCAGCAAACGTGTGAATAGTTTCTTTCAGAAGCCACACTACCGAATCTTGAAACAGCACATTCAGTTGGACAAGACAAAAAAACGACAAATTCAGTTGAGAATCAGCTGGGTCTCTCGTGAAAAGCGAATTGGGGTAAGAATTTGTATTTCAAGAGTCAGTTGGGTTTCTTGTCATGAGATACTCAAAAACATGCTTTTCAGCCTGTTGGCATCAAACACCAAAAAAGATTATGAGTTGCGGGTGGTTCACTTGTCGACAGGCTCAACATAATATTACACAACAGGGTAAGCGTGAATTACTTCAGCTTGAAGCAGAATGACTCCTCCAAATTCGATGTTTTTCTGATCAAAAGGAAGTTGTTGAACTCCAGCATTGAAAGGAACGATCAAACCCTGGAAGGATTGCTCGCATAGTGCGAAAACGGAAACTCTGATTACTTGTACGGCTTTGGTAGAGATGAGGAACGAAACCTTCACCTCTCAGTACTGCAAACATTACCGCTTGATCGACAACCAACCTTCCCCCCCGAAAAATAGAAAACGGAATTCTAAACTTTGAAGTTGTTGGTCCTACTGTCCCTAAATACGGTCAACCTCTCTCCCAGAAATAAGAAAACACTATGAGTGTGTGGTGCGCCAGTTGATTTCTAGTTAGTTTTGGTGAGTTTTACTTCACCAGATATCTGCTGTGTGTATTTCCAGTACAGTACTGCTTTTTTGTAGGAAGGAAAGACCGTCATGAAGCGCTCAGACAGTTTTTAAATGCGAGGACAGGGCCAAAACCGTGACCAGCATCGATACAATGCTGGAGAGAGTATACAATCTAGGCGCTACGATTTTCAAATTTTCTAACAAACTCATAAAACAGAAACCATCACTGAGTGAATTTGTTGTTGAACAATCTACCGAGAGATTTGGCCACTCAGTTCCGGACAGAAGCACTCGATTGCACGGAGCATCTTTTTTTCGAGGCTACTGAGCATTCATTCCACAGCTCTTCATGTCTTGTCCATCCTCAACCACACGCCACACCTGATAACAAATAAAGTACACACACGAACTCGGTCGTCATGTCCGGAAAACCAATTTCCCGAAAAAAGATCACTCTAACAGGTCAAAGATGAGATGTGCTCAATCACATCATTTCCCGACTCGCTTCGGATGACTGAATATCTTTGTCATTTTTCCCTTTATGTAACGGGTGAAATGATGCCGAATGACAGATTCAAAGACTCTGAAAAATCGACAGAAAAATTGCTTGCAAAAATATTTGTCCTCAGTGGATCCATAAGGTTTTTAGACACGGGAAGTCGGACTGAGGTTCGAACCACAGACTTTCCGGTAAGCAAGTTCGCGCCCTAACCACTTAGCTACCTGGACTCGACTCACCAACTCAGCAACGTATCACGCAAATCCGGATACTTGTTTCGAAGTCTAACTGGAACTGATAACACCCCAGCTTTCATTGCTGTGGGCGTGTGGATAGAATGGCGTCAGCCATAAATCTTCAGCAAACTGTTGTCGCATGTTGAGAAAAAAACTTCGCCAATTAAACCAATTCCGATTGGCTGCATTTCGTGAGGTATGGGAGAAAAAAATCCCAAAATTATGGGGAGTCTGTCCGGTGGACTTGATGCCGAGAGGTCTGGTGGACAAACGTGGTTTCGATTATTCCATCCTCGGATCTTATACTCATAGAGGTCAAAGTACACAAATAGGCACGATTCATGCACTATGCAACCCAACGCTCCACACAGCCGCTACTATATCCATCGCGTCTGAATCCCAAAGTGGCCTTGAATCAGCTGTTAAATGGTCAATAGGGGTTTTGTTTACATTCTTAAGTTCTAATCATAATTTTAAAGGCTCAGTTTGAGAGTAAAGTGTCAAAACCATCTGCTTGCCAGTTTTTATATATTCTATGGCAGTTTCTTTCCAGATTGTCTTGCTGAGCGGTTGGAGGTGTAGAATGCATGCGATAGGCCATTGCACTCCTTCAGCCTCCCTTTTCTCCTCATTCCATTCTAAAGCTCTAAATATCATTAGATGGAGGAAACTACTCACAAGGTTGCTCACAACCCACGACCAGTTTCGCTCATCTTGGGGGTCATCGAAAACTGTCCAATTTGGGTTCAAGTAGAACATAAGGTTGATGGAAACTCGGGGACTGCGCCTACCCGATGGGTCCCAAGAAGGACGAAACCGGTCGTGGGTTGTCGAGGAGTTTTCAGCAACCTTGTGAGTAGTTTCCCATGTGAAAATATACTGCGATGTCTCGTATATCGTGCCAAATGAAACATGAGGCGACCTGTGTGCAGCACATTCAGCTGGAGAACATCATAAACGAGAGATTCAATTGAGTCTCCCGTAAAAACCAAATTGATTTGCAAAATAAGTGTAGTTCTCGATAATTAGATGAACTTTGTGGTTGTACGGCAGTGAGGTATTAATGTCAACACTGGTGTTGCCGTCTCTGATGATGGCGATGATTCTGTGACGAAGCTGGAATTTTCGGTATCCGACTCTAGTCGGTGGGGTACACGTAATAATTGTCTAGCTATCTGAAAGCGAACTTGAGGTCATGGTAAGTGAATAAATTTTTCCAAAAAGCACGTCTTGAAAAGATCGGTGTTCTATTCTGGACAATATCAAATTATCGAAACAGTAAATCGTACCTCATTTGGTCTAGGCACCTTGACGATGGGGGGGGGACTTAATAATTCGAGATGACTTTATTAAAATGATAATATTCAATGTCAAATCACTTGATTTCCTCAAAAACTTTCTGCTTCCTTCTCGTTTTAGGAGAAAGGACTGGAACTACTCGCCTGCTAGATACGTCTGGATTGTGCAACCGGCAAATCGTACCTCAAAAATCAGGCCTGAAACCCGGAACGAAAGTCTGTTCCGTTGGTGAAAATCGACTTGCCGTGTTAGAAAGTTGCAGTAAAGAAGGGCACACGCTGAAGTGTTTCCTTTGTTGAATCTTATTTCAAAACGTTTGACCGTTGCCAGACAACCTCATAAATCGGTAGACTGAGGACATAACCATACTGTTGATAAAGCGACTGGGAGTTCCGTTGACACGCTTGCTGAGGAGCCACTGCGCGTCACCCAATGCAAATTACAAATAGGCAAAAGACGAATGATCACCGTCCCCAGTGTCACTGAGGTTGTTTTCGAAAACGCACAAGGACGGGTTGAACACGTATTTGTTGTGCTTGTTGATCATAGGACTGTTTTGTTCAGAGTAGTTCCAAGAAAACTTGCATTTTCTGGGTAATGTTTCTCAATAAATTGATTCACTGACTTCAGGTTCAAATTTCATGCTGGCAAGTTCATTCCGTAAAAGCGGGAAAGACAGGATGTCCTAATGGTGCGCAGTCCAAGCAGTGAATTGTATTGACGAAACACACTACTTATAAGGTTGCTGAAAACTCTTCGACAGCACACGAACGGTTTTTATTCCTTCTACTCATCAGGTAGGCGAAGTTCCCTGTTAGTTCCCTGCTCGGTAACCTTATGTTCTACTTGAACCCAAAGTGCACGAAATCCCAGTTACTCATCTGCTTACCAATTTGGTTTTGACAGGAGATTCACCTGGAATCCAGCCGAATCGCTCGTTTGTGACGTCCTTAAGGGGTGGCGATATCTCTCCCGGATCTCATTCATTCTCTGATCTTACTAGAATATCGTAAAGAGATTTATTCGTCCGGATCTCACGTTTGTATCAATTCGCTACGCAAAATGAACGAACGCCTGGTTACTCGTAGCATTGGTGAATGATCCAGGATGTTTTGGTAGTCCGATAACAGTCTTAGAAGCTCAACAGAATTTCGAAACAGACATTGGGCAACAGGTGTTGTCCGTACGTCGGAAAAAGAGAAAAATACATTGCACGGACAATACGGTGCGACTGAATTCCAAAACTGAAAATCTGTTTGTGGATTCATCCGGTGGAATCGCCCATAAGAGGTGAGGCCGGTGTACACAACATTGGTGTGGATTCGTGGATGGACAAAACTAAATTCCAGGGATCGTTCAAAGAGTTGTTGAAGACAAATTACGTTGGAAGTAAACTAGAGTTCAGGCACCCAATGTATTCCAACCATAAATCACTGCGACTAAACACTGAGGAGCGAATTCTGACCCCATTTTAGTTACCTTCTCCACACTTCCTGAATGACCGTTTTTCCGAATACCCTAAAGGGGATTTCTGAGGTGGTGGCCCACTTTGGAATCCAGTGAACTAAAATCATACTCGACCCTTGATATTTCAAGCAGGTTTTACTCGAAGGAAAGCGTGAAGAGAAATATGGACCTCACCATGTACTTCACGAGATCATGGTAGGGGACACACCCCAACCGAGTAGCTAGACGAACTTGATATATTTTTTTGGAAAGTTTCCTTGGCATCTAGCAGGCGGCGGTAAGTAACAATGGAGTACAGCGAACAAGGAAGCTTTCTTGCACAAGTGATGAGGTCACTTTGAAATTCAGAGCAGTAATGGGCCCAGTCGTAAACCACTCAGTTGGTAGGAGTCATCAAGCGGAAGTCCGCCAAGAGTGTAACATGTGCCCGGTGGTCTATAAGAGGCACACAAACACTAAAAGTTCACCAACAAAGACAATGTGCAGCTGACCAATTGAATCCATGAAAAGCAAACCACAACGCAACACATATCACGAACGGACCAAGCAGACTCCAAGTGAGGTGATTGTAAATGACCAATCAGGTTGGAGCTCAAGCTGTTCTTCGCAAACTAGATGAACGC